GAGGCACAAATAGAGGAGCATATTTTTGGGTAGTAGAGATACACACACTCTTGTTATCTGGAAGATTTGGGGATTAATAACACAGTTATTATGACGTAGCTCTTCCTAGACTAGAAGCCCCAGATGGGATGAAAGATTAACCAAAGTGGCAAGATAGAATCAGAGAATCACAGAAGGGGCTGTTTAGGTCATTGAGTCCAATGACCCTTTCAGGCCAGGAATCCAAATTAAAACAACCTAATCTGTTTCACCTCCACCTGAACACAGCAAATGACAGGGAGCCCATTTACTTCTCTAGGTAATTAGTTCCACTGTTGAACTGCTCTTAGCATGAGAAAGTTTGGTCTAACTTTCAACCAGAATCTGTCTTCCTCTAATTGAATCCACTATTCCATATCCTGCATTCTTAAAGGGTAATGGCCAGAACTGCACACGGTACTCAAGGTGGGGACTGTATGAAGCAGAATAGAGTTGAATAATTATTTCCCGTGATTTGAAAATTATGCTTCTGTAGTTGCAACCTAAAACTGCATTTGCCTTCTTTGCAGTCACTTCATGCTGCTGCTCATATTCAGTTTTCAGTCAATTAAATCTGTTTTGCAAATATTGTTACCGAGCTGGTCTAAATCCAGAGGTCTTGTCATCTGTGTCATGGGGGGTGGGGGCAGAATGGAACATATCGTTTAGCCAAAATTTTGACTGTTTTTGCAGACACTGTTTCATAATCTCAAAGCTATAAAAACTTGACATTTTTAAAGTAAATATTGACTTATTTCCCAGAGGAGCCTAAAATCTTCTATAGCCTCTTCACAGGATTCCTGTTTTCCTGCAGGCTTTGCAAAGTCTGAAGAAGGCCCTTCAGCCAGCAGTGACCGGGATCTCCCTGAGCTGGGAGTTGCCTCCAGGCCTCGAGGCCACACTGGTGGGGTCAGGCCCTCAGGTCATTTTCCAAGGGCAGCGCTGCCTCGTCTATGCCCAGATCCATGGGCAACTTCAGGCAAGTAATCTACCTGAAGTCCACCAACCTGAGCAATTCCTCCCTCCCGAGGTGTAGTCTGTGTCCTGTGCCTGCTCAGCGAAGGGTATTCGGTTGCCCTTCCTTGGCAGCTCTCATCCTAGAACATACCGATTCTCATAAAGGATTTCCCCTCTTTTCCCCCTTCCTTTCCCTGCATCTTCTGTTTTTGTACAGACATCAGGCTCCACGGAGGGGACAGCAGTTGTTCGGTATAATTTCCAAAACGAGACTCCCACAGAAACGATAAAGATCTCACTCCGTCTTGAGAAGACAGACAGGTAGAACCCAAGGCCGTCCAAGCCCTTTAAAAGAGGCGCAGCACAGCAGTGGGGAGCACATCCAAAGCATTTCTCTGAGTCCTCAAAGCAGACGCCTCTTTCTTCAGATTCACAGAGTTCCTTCATAACCTGCTCCCGGCTGCCTTTTCATGCATGAGGCAGCCAGGAGTAGCTTATAAACCAAGAAAAAGACGTGGCTGTCTTGTCGATTCAAACAGAGGTGCTTTTCACCAGCAGAGCCGTTTCCTCTTGGTGATCCTGTGGTCTTCGTATGTTAAAGCCAAAAGAAAGTAGGAAGCCACCACCTTGACCAACTAGGTGTGTGT